CATTCACTAAAGAAAATCCAGACTTCCTTGGCTTTTAATTACTCTCTTTTTATGTGCTGAAAATAAACGTGTAACATCCTTTCGTGGACTTTGGACTTGAACCAGTGTCAAAGTAGGATGTTTAACAGGTGTTCTGAAATATGGGTTGCTCCAAGATAAGAACATCTGTGGAAATGGATATTCATCTGACCTAAAGGATTCTCTGGGGAGCCAGCACTATCAACATATTTTATAATTTTTAAGACATACTTTAAATACACCAGGGTGTGTTTTGTATATTTACACCTAATGCAAATTAGGTGTTTTGAAGAACAGTTTCCTGCTTTGGAAATGAAAGAGAGAGGAAATACATTTTACTCCCTTCCTCCCCCAGTATATAATTTTGGAAAGATTTTAACCACATAAAACTATTCCTTTTGTTTGTTTTTCTTTTTTCATTGCATTAAATGATGATCACTAAATCCTTCTTAAAGGAAATTGCTGTGTGGAAATGACTAGAACATAAATAAGTAGGGTTTAGGGACAGCAGAGGTGACATCTACCTTTCCTTTACACATCAAGATGTAGGCTTGATTAACTAAAGCTGTCTTAAACATTCAGGATAACATAAATAACTCTTATTAGCTCTTTAGTTTAGGATTTTTCCCTCTGTGGGCACTCCTAAACAGACTTATTGGGCAAAAAAGTGTCATGCCCTAGAGATAATCCTTCCTATATTACTAGTTATTTGAATAGTCTTTCTTACAGAACATTATCTAGGATCAGATGTTATGATACTTCTAATTAAAGCTTCACTAAGTAGTTCATTATGTTCTCTTCTAAGAGGAGGTTTCCATCATTCTGTCATATTTCTAACATGGAACTCAACACTGCACATTCTTCCTCAGAGTGTAGAAGAAACTCTTGTACTTTACATAATCTTTGAAAGTTGCATTTGTTTTGTACAGGAAAGCTGTGGATTTTTTCATGCTAAAATATGTATTTTTCTAATACCTGTTTCAATATCAGTATTGGTTGCTCAATTAAAAAAAAAAACCTTAATAAGATTAGATTCCTTCAAATAAGACCTATTATATGAAGGACTCCCATGTGTTTGTTCACCCAGTGCCTACTGCCTTATGGAGAGTATATGTTTTTTGCCTGTCTTTGTTCATTTCCTCTTTTTATAAAACAAGGATGGAAAATACTGGTATAAAATTGGAGACTAATTAATTAATTTTTCATCCTCATTTCCTCTTGAGTACAACGGGAGAGTTCTGACCCATAGGCTGCCTCCTGAATAAGAAAGGTTGTGGTAAAGGAAGTTGTAGTGATTAAAAAACCCAGAAGTGCCACATCTGCAGAAAGTGTGTTGGTTTTAATTACTGTCAACTCATTTCGACTTTTTTTCCTCTCACCTGCTTCCTTTTCCATTTGTATGTGCAAGGGGAAACTTCAAAACCTGAAATGATGAAAATAAGAAACATCTCCACCTGAATATTGCATTTAAAACCAGCCTCTGCTGTTGGTACAGAGTGCTGGGGTTTGTACCTATCAGATGTGGGACTGAAATAATCTTGTGTTTCAGGGGAATAATTTTGAAACTCACACAACTGTGACTATATGTGCTCATAGTGCCATTTAGTGATGTATTTAGTAATCCTGCCTAGTTCCTCTGGGCTTTTTATTGATCAACGAGTTATTGAATGTGCTCATTAAATCTGTATTTCAGACATCATGGCTAACCCAGGGTTCTCTGACCAACTTAGAGCAACTGTTTCATGGAGAACCTTATTTTATGTTATTTTTTGTACTGTTTTAATTGTATCATTGTCATATTGGATTGGCTTTATAGTTCTCTGACTCCTGAAAATGTTTTAAATGTAGTGCCATAAAGTACATAACTGTGACATTGTTTCTGATAATCTTATTTAGATATGATTCATTAACTCCACTCCTAATTATGTGAAGTGGGAGAGTTATTACAGGTGCTTAAACATAGACCTGTAATGCTATTTTGACTTCTTAGGCTGTCTGAGACCATCTAGAGAGGGTTGGCAGCTACTGGTGGAATATTTGCCCACTTCTTCCCACAAAGCTCATTTTAAGCTGTTTATATTTTTAAAGTTTACTTGTATGGCCTTTCAGCAAATGTATTTTTTGGCAGTTAAGACAAACCCACTATTTTATGCTCTTACTATTCTTTCCTATCACTGTCTCTTGCTGCCATAAAGTATAAATTCTTTTGTATATTTTTTCCAGAGAGGCCAATGCTGATTGCAATTAAATAAATAGCTGAATAAACTCTAAGTTACCTTTAATACATTAAAAAAGTAATTGTCTGTCTAGAAAGCAAATTACCTCATCTGCTGTTGTAGAAGAAAGGACTGTCATGATTTTCTCTCCTGATGAGTTTTGCTTTTCCATGAACTGCCACAGTCCTTTGCTATGAGCCAGGAACATTTTTTGTTCATGGGTCATGTTACTGCTTCCTATACAAGGAATATTAATACTGCACTTCAGCAAGTTTGCAGTTGGAATGAGAAATGTATTGTATTTGCTGTATATATTACATAGTTTAATGTTGGTACTGGTGTGTGGCAGTATACAGTTGGCATTTGTAATAATAAAAATAAACTTGTCTAATTAGATCAAAAAATTGAAACTTGGCTGAACTATATTTTTGCATAGAAACTGATTCTCAAAATACTGAAAAGCATATTTATAATATGGAGTTTCTTGTACTTTCTGGAAGGTCTGAATGGGCGTAAAATAAGCCAGAAAGATTTTTATCAAAGTATTTTAGAAGTTATGAAAGAAGCAACAGTGAGAAAACTTTCTCTTCAATTTAGGAGCCAAGAAGAAATATTCAGTGAAGTGAATATAAAAGCTCTGTGAGACATTGAGGAAATGTGGATCAGTGTGCAGTTGTTTCTGCTGCCACACCTTACACAGGGGAGCTGGAGGAAGCTGTTTGTACTCTAAATAATCTGATTTTCATTGTCTGGTTACATGAGCTGGGCTTTACAGACCCTGTATCAAAGACTCAGGTTGGTGGTGTTTATCTTGCAACCATAAGACAAAAATCCCAGTCACGAGTCAGAGTCCTGTTGGGAGAGAAACAGTGCAGCTAAAGAGCAGAAAGGTGTGGAATGTGTTTGGCTGAGGATCTAGAAATAAATTTGATTGCATAGCCACAATTTTAAGATTTGTCTGTAAAACGAAGCTCTTAAGATGATGCCAAAAGTGGTCTTGAGTGGTGTTGGCCCTGAAAATGGAAAGAAAGCAGGAGGGCAGAGGGGAGAGCAAACGTTTTACCTCTTACAGTGTGGTGACTTTGTTACGTGTTTGTAGCTATTTTCCTGTTGTGTTACAAGACTGAAATGCAGCTGTTCCCAGGAACAAGCACTAATGCTGTATTTCATGTATTTTGACATGATGCCATTATAAATAAAGAAGGTGGTTAAATGATGCTTTATTATACCTTCTTCTGCAGGAGGGAGGTCCTTTCTTTTATGTGTCCTGCTGATGGGTTTGGTTCATCCATGAAAATCCAGTGGAAGGCCACCAAGAACACCAACCATGGCTTCTTTGTTCCTTTGCTTGTAAAGAAAGGAATTGCCAGGTTGTTGAGTAGGTTTGGTTTTTTGAATGAGGAGGAGTGAAGACAGAAATTCAACTTGCTTGTAAAAGAATAGGTTTTAGGAATAATTAGAAAGCCTTTTGGAAAGAAATACTTTAGATATGTCTGTGCATAGCACATTTAGGTAATTTAAGAAAAAGCAAACTTAGAACCACTATTATGGAAGACATTTTAGTAAAGTCTTAAGTATATCAATCCTTTTTTCTTCTCTTTCTTTAATTCTATATATGAAACAAGTATAAGATTGCTAACTGTGGATTACAATATTCTATTGTCCAGATAATGAGTGAGTCCTGTATGTAGTTCTATTCTTAAAAAAAAATAATCCTTGAAGGACAGGATGTATGTACATCTGACACAGCTTCTGTCAAGTTTTTATCTCTGTGGAGTGCCCCTATTAAAAACACCTCTATGAACTCTACTAATTTATATTCAGTTTAAAAGAATTTTAGGTTAACCTTCTGAAAAGGTTTTAGTATTACCTAGCTGTAATTGAGGAGTAAGTTAGAATAAGGATTGAAGTTTTCCATAGTAATTCATCATTGTCATTGAGGAAAATTTTCATAGTTCAGAGACATTCTGGTTTATTCTTATGGGATAAGCAAATCTTGCTTTCTTTTTTGTTCCATGGTTGTTATTTGGACTGTATTTAATCATAGTCTAAATGGTGATGTTTCATTGCCAGCAGTCCCCCAGCAAGGTCTCCTCGTGATGTTTTTGTTCCCACATCAAAAGTATTCATAACTGCACGTGCAGAATTCCAGCCTGACTGCTCCCATCTGTGTGGGGTTTACAGCTCTGTAAATACAGATACCTGGAAGATTGAAACTTGCTGTGCTCAGTATATGCACTTCATTCCTTAGGGTGGAAAATAAACCAAGGAAGTTTTCCACCTGTTCTTGAACAGAACTTGATTATCTGAAGATTAATACAGTTTGGGGTTTTTTTCTTTATTTTATGTGAATTAAAACTCATGTGTGGTATTGTGGCTTATGGCACTGTTGGTACAATCATCTGGTGTTATTCAACTTCCAATTTTCATTTGCCAAACCTTAACTATTTTGGGTGAAATTTTGCATTTTAGATGTCTACATCTGAAAATTTCAACCAAAATGGTTCAAATATTCCCATGAATGAAGCTACTGGAAAGACACTTCTCAATGTTGGTTTTCTAGAGACCCTCAGAGTCTGTAACTAATTAACAATTGAGCAGAGCAACTGTGCCATATGATATTATGGACGTGAAAGGGGGGTAACAAGGACTGTATAGATAATTCTTGCACTTGCCATGTTTTGAATGTTTATTTTATGAACTTGTTTTGTTGCCACGTGGGTGTACAGCAGTTTACACAGTGGGATTTATCTCATTTTGCTTTAGATTGTTGGTTGCCAAGTCAGAAGAGAGCCACTGGACTCCACTGAGCGATACACTCGCTGGATCAATAACCTGACCCAGGAGCAACTTCTCACACAGGTATTTTTGTTCCTGCTGTGTCTGAAATTACGGCAGGAAAATAAAGCAGGAGGTTTATTTGGATGGATTTTTTTCAGTCATTAGCAATACTTGATAACTTACTAAGGTTATCAGATTCTTATATTTAAAGGCCAGTCTGTTTGATAAGAGCCAAGGTTGTGGTGCATGTGAAGGATTGACTTCACACTGGGTGAGAATGAAGCTTTCACTTCAGTTCAGGGTGAGCCTTCCATGTCTCACTGCTGTTGGGCTTAAATACATCTGCTTTTGTGTTCTGATAATCAGGGATGTGTTTTTAAAAGGTGTATTTAAACACAAAAGGAAAAAAATCTTTCCTGAGAACGATTCCTTTCCCACCCAAGGTACCGACTGCTCCTGTGTCTGTTTTAAGTTTTGCTCAGGATCATTTGAAAATAGCAGTTCTTCAGGCACTAAACATTGGGCTCATTACACATGTTTGTAAGTGAGATGCGTCTTGTGCAACTGAAGATGACAGTTTTGGCATAAAGAAAGGTTGTTTCATTAGGCAGGAGGCCAGTGCTGAACTAAAAGAGACTTTGGCAAAAACAAGTTAAGCCGTGGAAGGAATCAATCCAGCTTGTGGGGGAATGTTGTGTGGAATATTGTAAGAAACCTAATGGATGGTTAGCAGAAAACATCCCAGCAAGCATTAAGATCCAAGTATTTGGGGTTGGGTTTTGGGATGCTATGGTAGGAAGACATTTGCTTTTGATTTCCCTGGATTTAAGTGGCTGAAAAGATTAACATACCCAGTTTGTTAGACTTCATTATAAACTGTCTTGTGTTCCCCATTACCAAACCTTAAAGACATACTCACAGGCTCTTCTGGGCACTGTAACACAGGAAGGAATCTACAGACCCTGTTTTAAAGTCAGTAGTGTCAGTAGTTACAGTTCCCTGCAATTCACCAAGGGAAAGCAATTACAGGAAAAGTTACGCATAGAATATTTGAAAAAGTAGAGATTTTTTCATTAGAAAAAACAGAGATTTAATTCAGTGAATTTATGTGACAGGAGCACCTGGATCACTGTGTTGGTGAAGAGAAAGAAAAAGTTGAGGATGTAAAAACTTGTCCTACACAGTCTTTTTCATCTAAGTGTTTTTCATCTGTAGTGTTTCATCTAAGTGGCCACTGGATGGGGTCTTTAATGAATTAAGCTGAAAATGAAAAGGAATATCCTAATTTTGAGGTTATTTAAGAGAGGATATGAAAAAAAAAAAAGAAAACTCATTTTAAGATGGGGAAGTGTTTGTTCTGGAAGAGATGATTTAATACAGTGGTTTTGATAGTAGGATGCAAATATGGTGACCTGGGAAGTCCCTTACAGTCTCATGTGCCTACAGATACCTCTTAAAGCCTTAATCAGTCCACTGTTTTTACAGATGATTTAGATTCACCCATTTTAGAGAGAAATTAGGAATTTTAAAAAATCCGTTGAGTTTGGAACTAGAAGGCTCCATAGCAGAACTTGTGCCACTCATCCATGAGTTTATGAACAAGCTCAGATTTATAGAGTCACACTATTTGTGTGTCCCTCATTGATTTTTAACATGTTACCTGCTCTCCACCAAACTTAAAGCACAAACAGCAATTCCTCAGAGACACCACATTTCTGAGAACTTTATGAATAAAGTCTGAAGGTTGGAGAGCTGGTGCTGCACCAGCTGTAACTTGTTTGTTGTTAAGCACCACAGAACCCCCTGGGAGGGAGAGTTTAGGTGCCCAATCTTGGGACAAGCTTCAGCTGTGGCACCAGACTGGGGCAGCTGGGCTTTTCTGGCCCTGGTGTAACAAAACTGTTTGGTCTCCAGAGCATGTCAGCACTTCTCCTGCCTTTGTGTCCCTTCTTCTGGTCAGGAATTCAGGTAGGGGGATGATTATTTTGCTTTTTGTTACTTAAGAAAGTGCGTGGCTGAGGAGGAATTGGGAGTAAAAGCCCTCTCAGCTGTGCTCTAATAATCAGGGTATGAATCAATTATGTAAGGTTAGGCCTGATTTGTCCCACTCCATACACTTTATTTGGGGTGTGCTTTTTTAAACTCTCTTCAGAAAATGAACCCCAAGAAAACTCTAATGATGGACCTGTGCTGATGGATTTGTACAATCTCCGAGAGGAGCATCCTTCAGGGAATTCAGGAAAATTTGCTTTAATTTACAGCATGTTTCTCCAGCAGTTTCTTGTAGTGAAAGAATATTCAGCTTTTTTGTAGCCGCCTCTGTACTCAATGCCTGGCTCTCTTTCCAGCTAATTCTGTATTTCTGTATCATGCACATCCAGATTATTTGTGAAGTAAATTGGGAAAGCATTAAAAAAGGATAAAGAGCCAGTTGTCAAGATCATGTCATCCCCGATCATAACATTCCTGTTATTGATCAAACAACATTGGATTTCTCTACTGGCCAGTGCCCCAAGCCCAGTTTGGGAGGGCTGGGTGGGAGCAGATATTTTGGTAGGTGCCTTCATACCCTCCATGCTGGCTCTGGGTTTGTATCACTTGAGTCAATAGCAGATTTTTGGATCAAATGTCCATCCCCTGTCCTCATTCCTGAGAAGATCATTCAATAGAAAATACTGCCAGCATTTTAACTTCTCTTTTCCCTTAGCCCTGGCCTCTTGATGCTTACTCATCCGTTAAATGTTTCTCTAAACAATTATACTGTAACATTCCAAAGATACTTTATGGTATGCGTGAAAATTCAGAATATAGACCCCAGAGAGTGTGGGGGGACTGGCAGAGTACAAAGAGAGCATGGTAATGAAAAAAACCCTACTTTTAAAAAGATTAATATTTGCTTTTTCATGGTTATCTTGTGTATAAATGGTAGGTGATTAAAGCAGGCTTTTATAGGTATAGTCTGGTAGACTCGTTCTTTCTGGCCAAGAGTGAAAAACCCAATTAAAAGTGGATAATCTTAACTGTTCAGTAAGAGCAGAGCACAGTGACAGGTACAGGAAGAAAATGAGTAAACAAATTAGGAGAACTGACTGTTTTGATGTTGGACTAAGTGAAAAAAATGTAGATTAAAACTAATCCAACAGGATATCCGAGTCTGGATTGTGCTTGTAAATGTGACTGAGGTTTGATCATGCAGCCCTTCTTGTATACTGGAAATTTTAGTGGGCTATATAAGTTAAAAAGGTCTGAATGGTTTTATGGTTGGATTAATTGCACAAATATTTATACAAGTAGTTTTTAGGGATTGTTGGAGACTGTAAGGAAAAGAGCTGAGTTCATATCTAGGTCTGTTAAATCACTGCTTTAGCTTAGTTTAGTCTCCAGCCCGTGGAGTGTTCTGTTCAGCCTGAAGCGTAATTCCATCTGACCTACCATTTTTTCCTCCCCAAAGACAAGAGACTTCTCTGCTTTCATATGGTTGTTCACTTAGAAAGCAGACAGCAAGTCTAGAGTGACACATGAGGAGACTCCTGCCAAAAGGAATGGGCCTGTGGATGATAAGACTGGACTGTCCTAATGTAGATAAATAACAGCCTGAACAAACCACAGTGGTTGTGAGTGTCTGCCTGACTTCCTGATACCTGCTGGCCTTTGCAGGTTATCTCAGAGCTCTTCCTGTTGGATAAATCTGGAAGTTGTCACAGGTGATTTGTAGTTCTTAAGAATAATCTCTCCCAACCACCTGACAGAAGAGCAATAATTAACGTTATAGTTTTATAGCACACACCTTTCTGTTCATTGATAGGTTTAAAAACTGTGCTTCTCCACTTAGTAAGTCTTCCTATACTAGAGTTAAATTAATATTTGATAAATATTCATGCTTCAAATCAGAACTTACTACAAATGCTCAGTTTGGAAATAGATCCAGCACTGTGGTTGAGTCAGAGCATGTAGCTTGTTTTTTAAAGCAAGAAGGACCTGACAGCCTGGCTGGACCCTTTCCATAAATTCAGTGCACTCAGTATTGCATTGCCATAATGTGTCTCAATAGGCATCTTCTTAGTGCTCAAAAGCTGGTAGGAACAGACTGTAAGTAAGATGAATTTTCCAGGTGGGCCACAGATTGGATATCTCTGGCACAGAGCATCTGTTTTGTCTACTTGCAGACAGAAAATCCCACCTTTATTAGTGCTTGGGTTGGTTGTCGTCGTGTCAGAACTGAAATAATCATTGAGGCAGCACTCAGAAAGGGGGTGGATGTGTGCAATGCCTGATGTCTGGTTATGTTAGTAAAGGCAAAAATTGGACAGAGGGAAAGGCTTTCTTACTTAAAAATGAATAAAACATGAAAAGGCTGATTGAAATCCCCTCCACCCCCCCATCTTTGCCACTATTAATGGCTCACTTGTGTTTGTTGTCTTTCAATAAAAAGATACTCAACACTTTCTTGGGATTTTTTTGGTCACCATTTCCTCTCCTTTCACCCCTTTTTTCTAAAAATATGTAATTAATAGTGAGGTCCTGATGCTTTAATGAATGAAACAGCCAAAGTCCCAGACTGGTTATTACAGCAGATTTTAGTGGTTTATATGGGGTTGAGCCTATAGTATATAAGAAAAAACCAACTGGCTGCTTCCTTTTGTGGTTGATCCTTGTTCTCCTCTGGAGGAGAATGAACCAAAGTTTCACAAGCTTGACAGTGTTTATATTTACATGTGAAAATGCGTGTCAAAGGGTTCATGGAGCTCTAGAAAGTTTAATGAGAAGTGGCTTACCCACATCTGTGAACTCAAAGCACAATTAGAACTTCCCAGTGAGGCTTTATGTAAAGGCAGCTCAGGGTCACATATTTTGAACTTAGAAACAGGTTTGGAGGAATTCAGAAATGTATACAGTTTGTGCTTTGTGTGTGTGCAGTTTTGCATGAGTTTAAAGGTGTCCCATAGGGGGAAGGAGTGTTGAATAACTGGGATTTTTCCTCTTCATATTTGGTTGGATGATTTGCATGCTTAAACAAGGCTGGAATGTGGTTCCTAATACATGGCAATGTTTAAATGGAACAGAAATATTATAATGTAGTA